TTCCCCCCAAATATCGTCCCGTGTGTATTCCTGAAACTTCTGGAGGCTTGTGGAAAGCACAAAATAAAAGATGTTCTGCAAATCAAAATGATTGTTTATGACTACCTCTTTACAGTGGTAAATTATTAAAATGTTTATATAATTTATATAGTTAATGTAACCATTTGAGAGTAAAAGTTGCAAAACTGTGATGGGAAAAATAAGCAAGAGTCAGAAATTTGGAAAAATTATGTTTTGTGCCTTGCTTTCTCTGTCTTCCTCTTTTAGTTAAAATTTTCTCTAATATGTAATACATAATTGAGCTAGATGCTCAGAGTGGTGCACCATTTTCTGACAAATGCTCTGGTAAAGTCTGGCCATGAACTCCTTAGGCTTGAAACGATTTTAGGCAAATCTATTCTTGACTGTCTTCCTTCCCAGGAAAGGCCCCATCTGACTCCTGAGCACTTTCATGCCTGATGTTTTTTATGGGCCTCGTTCAGTGCCCACAGGGGCACATGACAGATGTGACAGATGTGACACCCGTGAACTTTGGGCATGGCACCAAAGAGGGTTCAAATGCTCGTGGGCCCTGGCTCGTTCCTGTGCCATCTGCTTTCCACGGGGCTGCAGGATAGACCTTCTTGTACCATTTAAAGGGACTTGACTGCGCGATCAGAGGGGCTGCTTGGTGACATATATCTCCTCTTTGATTGTACTGTACTGAGCTAAAGAAAAGAGTGTTTTTTCCACTTTATTACTGCTCGGATTGTGTGACTGCACCTCGTTATCTGCACCCTTTCTAAATGTGGAGTTAAATAGTCAACGTTGCTTTGTGTTTCTTGCTCTGTATAAAACTACTGGACACTTTGCATCTCCTAAATCTGTGGAGTTTGAGCAGTTCAGCACCAAGAATTTAGCCACAAAACACTGAAGAGGTAAATGAACCTCTGGGTATCTTTTCACAGGTATCTGTGAATGCAGCTTTCACAGGGCTGGATAAATGCTTGAACCCAAAACATTGAATTGGTCTATGTAACACTGATTAAGACCATGACCTGAAACCTGGTGACATACATTTTTCATGTCAATTGCCTTGCTGGTTCATTTGATATTTTGGTTTTATATTTTGAAGGACACCAAAGAAAAACTGAGCTTGTGTTTAGGAGATATTTTCCGTGTTGTCCCATTATTGATGTCCTTACAGCTATTTTATGTTCAAATAACTCTTCATGCTCTTTTCTCCCTGAAAATTAGTCTCTCAATTAGTACAGATACATTCATGTTCAGCATTGAACATGCAACTAGCCATGCCCATGTAAATGAAGGTTACACAAGGTGAACTAAAGGATACTATATAAAATGTAAAATCAAATAATTTAAATAGTTTTCCAAGATTTATTTTTAAGATCTCAACAGCACACAATTTACTGAATATTACAGAAAAATTTTATAGACTAAGTAATGGTTATTCATGTACTTAAGTGCCAGCATGCAGATTTACTGTGGTGAACTGCAGCATTTCTTCCTTAGAGAAAAATACAGCCTTGGTCAACATCCTCCAGTAAAATAAGCATTTTAAAGGCCTGAAGTTACAGTATAATTTATAGTTATCATTTTAAGCACTGAATTTTCAAACCATTTCCCTCTGTTTTCTCACTGATGAGGAATGCTCAAGGACCGTAATATCAGCACGTCTCCTATTACAAAGTTAAACTCCAGAAACATTTAACAAGGTGAAAGTTCTAAAATTAGCCCATTTTTTCCAGCCTACACATCACACACCTGTGGGAGAACGTGTACAATATATTCTACACTTTCTTTTCTCATTACAAATCAAAACACTCTAACCTAGCATGCAAAACATGCATTGCCTTTTTTCATTAAGTCAAGAGACCTATTAATTCCAGATGTAGGCCATTCCACTTATCCTTCTTAAAGCTGGAAAGGGCATTTTCCTCTACCCGTGTCTGGCTTTCAGCATGGGATCCTGTTCTCCCACATTTCCTGGCTGCACAGTGCACCCCTGAAGCTTTGCTGCTGCAGTTGTGCAGCCTGTGCAGAGGAAAGGCATGGCTGTGTGTGAGGAGCTCAGAGAGTTCAAAGATTTTACCTCACCCCAACATGCTTTCAAGATATTTGGTCAATAGGATAGCCCAACTTGGGGCTAAATTCCCCTTTTTGTCAGTGACTGTTTTCAAGACATACATGACAGTTGTAACAAGCCTAAGAAAAAGAAGGTTATTATTGCTGGATGGCACTGGGTCTGTGCTACAGCTAGAAAATATTTAGATGTTCACAAATGGAGAAGGGTAGAGAACCACTGGCTCAGATTATTTGTTTTCGAAGTGAGGATCAGCTTAATCCTTTTGTGTGTTTGTGGATCTAGCTAATTTCTTAGAAAACCTGTGTTTAATGATGGCTTTTTGCAGCTTTCTACCAGGTCTTTTGGTGGGAATGTCTTTGTGAGTTAAGATAAATTCCCAGGAATTTTAGCTACAGCTAAAAGAGTTTGAGGTGCAAGAGATTTGTCTGTAGTAGTGACTAACAAAAATGACCACACTGCTTTGTGCACTGATTTTTTTTTTTTTTTCTTCACAATTAATTTAAAAGTTTTTTTCAAGCATTGATGTAGTGGAAGCAACGATCATTGAGTCAGTTAAGAATGGGTGGATTTGAATAACTGAATGCCAACTGACAGCAAATTTATCTGTGGTAAAATGTCCTTGGAAGAAGATTCTAGTCATAATCCTTCTGGCTCAAGAGGAAGAGAAAATGCTGGTCTTGTGTGAAATGGGCACTGGGTGTGCCTTGGCAGCCCTCAGAAAAACTTCCTAACTCTGCTGGTACCTGACTGAGCAGCAGGCACAGTAAATATATGGCTGCTGCTGCAGAAATTTTATACCTGTGTTGATCTGCACAACAGGAAAAAATTGATTTTACTCCTAACATTAAAAAAGAGACACAGAATTGCAAATATATGGATAAACTCATAAACAGCTGGTCTTGGGTATAAATTTTTACAGGAGGATTTTTCAGGTCAGGGATTGCTGCTTTGATGTGTGTTGGCATTGTGAGGAACACGAGGGGTGGCAATCTGTGCCTGGGGCTCCTAAGTGTCATGGTAAGACAAACAACTGCTAAATTGCCCTTGCTGCTGCTAGGTTTGTGATATATCTGAGTATGTAAGTGTTTATAAAAATTATTTACTCCATATCTTGGCTTTCCTTCTATTTCAGGAGAGTACTTACACTGACAGAGAAGTAGGCTTGTGAACAACCAAGTGGAATAAAATTGTCACTGTGTTGCTGGCAGGCTTTGCAGTTAACGTGCTGTGTAAATTTTTTCCCTGTTTTTCTTTAAATAAGAAATTTTTTTTAAAGTGTGTTTAAGGCATAAGTCAAGTTGAAAAATATTGTTTTTGTCAGAAACATGCTGGAAAATAGAAAATTAGAGACTGATGAGTCACATGATTCTTATGTACAGACCCGGCGTATGAAGCTGGGAATGGACTTTTGCCATTGCATCTTGGAAGTCCTTTAGATTTTTTTTTAAGTGTTTCATTTGGCATACTGAAGTAAAACTAATGGAGGAAAACAATTTTTTTTTTCAAGTCTATTGTATACACAGTTTGGAGATAGTAATCTACAAATATTTCCAGTAAGAACTTCAGTTGTGTTGCTTTGGGCCTCATAAAAAGTGAGGATTTTATCGCATTCTCCAGCTATCTGTTCTCTAGTGGACCTTAAATGCAAAGACTGGAAAAATACCATCTCTCTTCAAAAGTTATTTGTTGCCATTGAAGCACTGAGTGTTAATAAATTAAAAAAAAACTTTCATTGTAGAATTTATTATTTGATTAGTTTCAAAGATGGAGTGTGGTGCTTGCAATAGGACCTTTTTTTTTTTTTTTAACATGTATGGCTTTCAATGAAAAGAGGCATCATGTTACTCATATATAACAGGAGATGGGAGATAACAGGGCTGACATTTTCCCCTGTGTTACTGTAATGGTGCAAACTGGGAAAATCCAAGCTGTTGTTCATTAGGAGCCTTTCTTGCTACAGGCTGTCACTGAACATTCCCATCCAGTGGTGCCTGTGAATAGTGGGATTAAAAATAACCAGTGGGGAAACAATAGGATGAGAAGGAGATGGAGGATGATGAAGATGTCTTGGGAGCAAATTCCATCTGCATGGTGCCCTTGAAGAGCTGTGGCCTACACAGTGTATTAGCATGTTAAAGTGCCTTGGAGAGCAGCCTTAGAGCAGGAAACTGGCTTGCTGATAGCTACATGAACTGGATAAAGGTTTGGAGGGTCCGAGCACTGTGCCCCTACACAGCTGGTGTTGGATGCCAGCGCTCAGAAATCTTCATGCTGCTTTTGAGCAACAAGCGAGTCTCTACTTTGAATATGAATGAGTGAAGTCAACTGCCCCTTAATTTATACACATTGCCAGAGACAGTCCCAGGGTTTGGAATTAAATACTCCAGCACAAATCTCTTTAAACCTCTCCTAAATAAGAAATTATGCTAAAGCTCTTTAGTAAGGAGGTTCTCCCCCCTGTTGAAATAAAAATCAATTATGTTTGCTCTGCTGTGAACAATGTCGCTCCGTAGCCTTGCTTTCTAATTGGGTAATGCCTTAATGACCTGCTGGGAGGCTGTGATGCATTGCTTTGGACCCTCTCTGCAGGCTCTTAGACTACCAGTCAGATGTCAATGAAGCTTGGCTCAACAGGGGTTCTTTTTCTAAAATTCCATTATTCATCAGGGTTTATGCACTAAAATGATCACAAAATAAAACCTTCACATCAAGCAGAGTTAAATAGAATTATGGATGCTTTACCTCATTGTTAGACTTTGAGATTGTCACTGGATTAAAATTAGGTTCTTTTTTATTTGTTAAATTTGATGAAAACATTTTTTCACTTTTGGGTTTTTCTGTTAAGAAGCACTGAAAGAAACAACTTTAAAGGTGGTGGATTTTTTTTAATAAGGAGGTGTATATGTATTTTAAATGAGTCTTATTTGTTCTTGTTTATTTTAAACCATGAAACAAATGTTTTAAAAAGCCTTATTCACTGTCAGTGAGTGATAAGTATCAAACCATTGACTTCATTTAATAGCTGTGTTGAATCATTCTGATTCTCTATCAGAACTGGGATAAATAAGATTTAAAAAAATCTTACATTTGCTTTGTATTTTCTTCCTAACATCTAAAGGAAACCAGTAAAGTGGAATCTTAAAGACTGTCATTACAAAGCTGGTGTTCAAAGAGGAGAATGGCTGGTTCTGGAGGACTTCTCTTCTAGAACAAGAACAATGATTTCTTTCCTTTGCTTGAGAAGATGCTTTCTTTCCTTGATGACAGCCTGAAGCTACATAGCTGTAAGAAAGGTAAAATTAAGCTGGGAAAGCATCTTTCCTATTAAATATGTCCAAATGTGCACACATGGACGTGTATGCAATTTGAAAAGTAAAAGCAAATGACATTTGTGTGTTTTTGTAGCAGCCTCAGGGAAAGTTTTCTAGCTATTTAAACACAAATCTGTTATGCAGTGACAAATTAGGAGTTACCAGGGCAACTGCAGGTAACAATTTATTCATACTACCTCTGGAACACATCCACCTTCCTAACGTGACTGGCTGATGTGTTGTGTGCAATGCATGTATTTCCAAATTAGTAAGTCAGTCATATAATTACCATAAAATTGCACCTTTCCCACAAGTTTATAAGGCTAGGGAAATCTACAAAAATACCATGAGAAATAAGTAAAATGTATAAATAACTGAAAACTTTAATTTGCTTTACTTTTTCGGGTCCATATATTCTGGAAAATTCTCTGGTTTCTAAGCTTCAGCCTTCTGGTTTTAAAACAAGGCCAGAATTAGTATCTCTTAGGATCTGCATCAGTGAGATATTAATTTTTCATCAGAACCCTCCATCTTCAGAAAGATGTGATTTTCTGCAGATGCTTCACCTGCATCCCTCACACTGAGCTCACATTTTCAACAATCCAGTCCTTTCTGTCAGAGCTTCCATGTCCTTGTCTCCTGCTTAATACCATCACCTTTACTTTTAACAATTATTAATGCTACACTTGATGTACTTGTCCAGCACATAGGCACATTCTGTCGTTTGCAACCTATCAGTTGTAACATATGGATCTTCTCATCTAACTGATTATCTGACAGTTGATGTTCCTTCCACACATGAATGAGATTGACACAATTGTTTTCCTAAAACCTTGGAAAGCTGCATGAAAACCATGATCCCAGTCATTCAGACAATACATCTTACTCCAGTATTTTAAATTCTTTCATGTTTACGAATGTTTCATCAACGTCTGCATCTCTTCAGTTGTGAACTAGGTCATGAGATGCAGTCCTAAGTAGAGTCTCCTGCTAACCACTTCTGAAAAAGTCCCTTTTCTCCTCTGCTTTTCATTGTTTAAACAGTCTGCCCAAAACACTGCATTAAATTGCCTCCAGGCACAAACACCCACCACAGTCCCCACTGACTACACAGGTTTTCAGAACAAGGTTGCCCAGTCCCCAACTCTGGTCTACCTCTACGCCCAGTTGTAATGATAAATATTGAAATCTCAGAAATTTGCAGTTTCCTAACACAAAAAGCCTGTAATCCTTACATGATGGATTGCACCTTGTCAAGAAAAAAGTGTATTAGGAATAATTGGAGACTTCATAGTTTTGTATTGATCAATTACTTAAGCTGAGAGCATGAGCTGGAAATTTGGAATACTACAGGCTCACCAAAGGTTGTTTTTAGGAATTTAGAGAGGCTTGTTATGGATTCAGCCCTCATATTTGAGCTGTAAATGCTAAAAAGCTGTTCTGTGTTATAACACCACGGCCCCACCCCTATCATGCTAGAGCCATTCTCTGCACATCTAATTCTAATCAGTAAAGCAAATAAACTTCAACTTGGAATACTCTCAAGACCACTTGCTCCTGTTTTCATAAACACTTAGGAAAGAACCCAAGTTTCTCATAGCTAATATTAAAGCCTTAGCTGAAATACTCCTTCCAGCCACCCCAAACTGGAGTTTGCCCCAGCACACACTTGGAGAATTGCAGGGCTCTGGAAGGTTCATGATTTGCACAGGAAGCCATGAAGTGTTCTGGTCCTGGCACACAGAACTGAAAAACTCATTAATTACTTTATTCATAATCCTTCTGGAGGTACCTTTTCCACTTTCCTCTTCTCTCCCTCCATCCCCTGACCCAAATATCTCTTTGGTCATTGGCCTTCAACAGTTGTATTTTCATGTTTTATCAGGCACAACAGGAGAAAAGCCTGGCTTCTATTTGAAATGGCACAAACTAGCTATAAAAATCACTCTACAAATTACATGATTGCCTGGTACTGAGCTACAGTTTTAATGATTATAAAAAATTAGTGGGTCACCTCACAGTACAGACCTATCTCCTCCCCAGGCAATGAAGAATTAAATTTAAGTTTGATTTGTTCAAATTTTATGGAAGGATACTCTTGCTAATGGTTGAAGTAACAGCAGCTGTTTGACAAAGCCAGACTTAAGACTTGGGGTCAGATCAAATCTTGACATAGGGAGATTTTTGCTTCCTTCAATGTTTCTGGGTGTTGTTTCTTTCAAACATCACAAAAATGTCTTTTTTAATGCCTGAGAATTTATCTTCTGAAACAGTAAAATGCTGAGGGAAATCAGTGTTTGAGATTTTTTCTGAGCTTGTTCAGTACTGAATTCCTTAAAATAGTACTTAAGTGATATCTGAACCTGGTGCTGTCTTCTTTGCAAGGACATGGGTCACCATGAAGAACCAGATGCTTAACTTAATCTGAAAGAAGAAAAAAAAATTATGATTCAGGGAGCTTTTTATCTACCTGTGGAGCACTTCTTAGAAGTTTCCAAAGAAAGAAAAATATGTTTTAATGAGAAAATCTGTTAAATTCTAACTTAATTTTAAACAGTCTGTATTTCTATGTATTTCTATTTCTGCAAACTCTAATGTCTTAAAAATATCACCTTCCTTTTGTATTAGACTGGGCTAGGACAAAAATATTTTGGCTTGGAGCTGAATGACTACTTCTTTTTATCTTTACTCTTCTTTGCTTGCAGAAATGTTGACATTATTAGCATATGGCTCCAGAGGATTTTTAAAGTTTTCAATTAGTGGATTTGTAATGAATAGTTTGCATATGACATCACAGTTTGTTCCAGGCCAAAACACTACTGTATGAAGTCATAGTAAAAATCCTAAGATGAATTCATAGTTAATATGTTAGCTCTTAAAAGAACATTTATAGGAAAATAACACTTTCCCATTCAAGTGCTGGAATTTTCTTTGTCTCAGCTACAGTACTTGGTTTTGCAGTCTCTCTACCAAGTAAAACTCTTGTTGATATGTTTGCTGCAAGGTGGTTTACTATGAAAATATAATCTAATATCACTTAAAAGAGACTGGGATGTCTGTGTACTAACACAGGAAATATCAATTCCTGCCTTGACCAGGAAACTATTGTGAAGAAACGTAAATTCAGTGATTTCACAAACTTTCTGCTGTGTCCTTCCTGTTTTCTTTCAATTCATCTTGTAAGTGGTTTTCTTTTCTTGCTTTTAATTTCAGAACTGTTTGTGATTTGATGGTATTTTCTGATGTTACCATGAGATGTCCTATGCTATGGCTACATGAAGACATAAATCAATGCAGTAATTGAAGATCAATTACTAAAGAAGTTGGTGCTGAGGCTTCTGCATCTACACATGTTCTTTGAAGATTTTTCTTCAGAATAAATTGAGTCTGGTGTCCTGAACTAAATGTCTACATCCCAGACATGGTGTGTAGCTGTCCCAAGCTACAAATTTTTATGGCTAACACTTGAAATTCCAGTTCAGTCCTCTCTGGATAAAATTTTTCAAATAAAGTGATTCTGCTGGGAAATAAAAAGACTGAAATATTTTTAAAAATGTTAAATTTGGAGAATTATTTCAACAAAAAGATAGAATTAGGATGACATTTTAACATATAAAATATTTTATTTATAGATACAAACTTCCAAAATATGTTCCAAATTATTTCACCCTGGGCTGAAAGATGTAGCTGAACTTTGTTTTGTTTGTTATTTTTGAATTCATCCAAACAGCCAGCAGCTTCTGTTTCAGATAAATTTTTTTCTGATTTCTTTTTTTTTTCCTAAACCCCCTAATAGTAAAATCAATTTATTCACTTGCTGTTTCTCATATGTTTAAATAATTTCAAATGTTAGATCCTAAATTCTAATTTTCAACAGAGTAAAGCTGTGTCAAAATTTTCTGTAAAGCAGTTTTGGTGAGTCAAAGCATTACATAAATAAAAGGAATAAAGCTCAGACCATAATTGGTCCACTATTCTCATGACCAGCAGATTCTTGTGCTCTGCTTGTACTTCCAGCCCAAACCAAGAATTTCAGACACTTGACAAACGTGGAGACAAGTGAAGGGGAAGCACATCCTCGTTCCCCAATTCCTGCAGTGAGGATCTGATCTGGGTCTGCTCCTGCCTGGGGGGAGCCCAGGGCTCTGTGCAGGAGCCTGGCTGGCAGCACACCAGCCTTGGCTCTTTGCTTCCTGCTGCCCCTCTGCCCTTTCTGGCACCCCTTGGCCCTTTTTGCATCTGCAGTCTCTCTTTTGGTATGTATTTTGGAAAGGTTGTTCCCTAATTTACTGTACAAAGCATTGGAATATTTAACAAGGAGCAGCTCCTGTGTTGTTAACTTGCAATCCCTGAAGTGGAAATAAATCTAAAAGCTAATTCTCCCCGGTCCTTTAATATCTTCTACACTTAGAACAAGCTCCATAGTTAGAGGATATTGAAGTGCTTTGCCAGGGGGATGCTTCCTTTCTGAGGTATTACACAGATTTAGGTTTGAGAAGGTTGACTGATTTGTCCAATATCACAGTTTGGTGGCAAAATTTAGTTCCCAACCCCAGGTCCAGCTGATTGTCCTTGCTATCTCTCTCAGGGATTGGTTGATTTAAGTAAAGTGTCATAAACCTGCACTATTTGAATGAGCTAATAATTCTGAACCACCCTGGAGTAGCTGGCAAATCTGCAGTAGAGAAAGAAACAAAGGAAAAACAGTTGTCATAATTTTACATCTGAAAAGAGACAGGGCAAACTGCACCAAGCTGATGAAATGGGTAAAATGGTCCTACAGCAGATTTTTACTGTGCAATCCTGTTCCTCATAATCAGTGCTCTTGGATTTTGTGGGAGCTGTTCCTGGATTTCATCTGCCTATGAGAAGACAGAAAAGCTCTGCCCCAGGGAGAACAATTGAGGGGGGAAAAGTGTTTCTTAAAATCCACAGTAAAAACCTCTCTGCTTTATCTAGAGCTCATTAGAGAGTTTAAAGAAAACTCAATGTCGTGTTTAAATGCTTTTCCCCCCTCACTTTTATAGATGGTTAAATGGCACACAGGTTGTGCTGTCTCAGCCATCAAAAGCTAAGAAAGGAGGTTAAAAGACCCCAGGGATCCTTCACATTAATTACTACCACTGTCAGTCGGTGTGAAACCATGTTTAGGCCTTTTAGAAAGGAAGAGTGTAATTTGTGCTTTCAGTTAGGGCTGAAACAAATCCTGCAGATACTGATGGTATATACTCACGTGTAAAAATGCCTAATTTGTTTCCGCTGAATTCTTGTAGTTAATCTGGGAAAAAATTATGGGAAAACCCCTCACCCTACCCCAATAACTCCAACTGAATTTTAGCAACCTGAATTGGCAGTCTGTAAAACTGGCTTGAATTAATTGGAAGCCTAATCCACGGAAATTAGCTAAAAAATGCATTATTCACTCCAGTGTAGCAGCAGGGAGGAGAAATGAAAGAAGCAGAGAGGAAAAGCAGAAGCAGCACCTAAGGCAAAGGGCTGTCATTTGAATTTCATAATCGAGGGTGAGACAAAGACACCTCTTTGTCCAAGTAAGCTACCTTCTGAAAGGGGAAATCTGAAGAAAACACAGAACTATGCAGTCTGAGCATTGGGGCTGGTTGGACTCTGCATCTCCCATCATTTACAGCGGTGCACAAGAACAACCAGAGTGAAATGAAGTTTCTATAGCCCAGCAGCCCAGTGTATGGGTTGCATTTGCCATTCAGTGTAGTCTAGTGTAGTCAGCCTATCTGGGGTACACCACAGCAACAGAAAGGGTGGTTTAAAATCCCTTCCCACACCTGCATCCTGTCCCATGCGGTGGCAAACCAAAAAGAGACATTATATGTGAGTTACACCTGGGTGTGTGCAGAGAAATGGCAAAGAGTGAAAAGATAGAAATTTTCTAGAGGACATAATGACAATTAGCTTGACAACTGGTAATTATCTGGTGGTACCTGAGGAGTATATCTCAGAAGCAGTTTCATGGAGTGGCCCAGGCCCTGAGCAGGGCACAGCAAGGTGGGACAAGGGTGGCTGCAGCTGAGACAGCAGAACTGGCCCAGGGCTGAGCCAGGCTCCAGGGCTGAGGGCAGGAAGGGGGCTGGACCAGGCTGCTGGGCAGAGAGGGGAAGGGTTAACCCTTTTGGCAGCAATGAATTGTTGGATCAGCCCAGGTGTCCTCTGAATCCCCATCTTAACGTTCCCTACCCTTGCAGTTTGACTTGGCTGCCTTAGGCTCATCCTAAAGTCTTTTGCTGCTATGTTGCACAGTGCTCCTGCTTTCTTAAAAGCTGTCTACCCCAGGAAGGTGCACACTTTGCCTATGAGAGTTTGGCACATAGATACATGTTCAGCTCAGAGATCCAGTGCTTCAAAAAAGGGAAATCTTAGAGGTGAGGAAACCTGGAACAAAATGGTTCACAGAAACATGAAGTCTGATTTTCACACCTCTCAGCAACAGCACAGAGAAAGTTAAAGCATGGTCCTTCCTTATTATTTTTAATTAGTATTGCATCCCCAACACACTATGGCCTGTCTTCTGCTTTGCCACATATGTGTTGCATGATGTGTAACCTCTCAGTGTCTGTTTCTGTCTAATTAATCCAGGTTTGACTGCTACAACCTATGAGTTGTTCACCAGCTTTGTATGTGATATAACTCCTGGATATTTTTCAGATCTCTAGATCCAATTGCTAAGGCAAGATTGAAATTCTGTTTTGGTTTTGGTTGTTGGCTTGGGTTTTTTTAATTGCTTAATGTGCTTGGGCAAATGAAGAACAGATTTTTGGGTGCCTTTCTGGTTATAAATTGTAATTAGGAAAACCTTTGCTATCTCTGAGAAGCAGCCTGCTAGTTACTGATATTGGACTGTGTGGCATTTGTACTCTGATTTAATGAGAAAGAACATGCCAAATTCTGTACTAGTTACTTAGTTTAAACTTACTTAACTAAAGTTTTGTGTAGAATTTCCCATTCCAAAGGGAAATGGTACACAATAAGATTTAATGAATTGTGTACCTACAAGAGCAATATAACTCCCAAAATGCTTCGTCAACTAAACTGCCTTTCCTGTACATGCAGCAATAAAAGCTCTGCTGCTCCTCCTTTCCTAAGCATGGCCAGAACCTGCAAATCACTTTTCTCAGTGAGGAGGTGACATCAGACATAAATGGGAAACACATGCAATTGTGTTGGATTGTGATTTTGGAATGCCTAGCTGTGATCCCATGGCTTTGCATTAGTTTTGTTCATTTGAAGGCTATCAGTAACTTCTCTGGTACAGGATCAGACCCTAATCACTAAAACACTGAGCTTAGGATGGCACTTGGAGATATGCTTCCATCTTGCTGAGAAAGAACCTTGTCTGCTCTTTGATTTTAAGTTCTATTGGACAGTAAGATTAGCTCTAGATGTTAAGCTAAGCAAGTTCATTCATCGTTTATTTATATCTTTGCTCATAGCTTGAATCTGGGCTTTTGGAGCTTGTACTGCAGATTCTCTCTCATTCCAGGAGTTTTCCAACCATCTACATCTGGCACTTAGGGCTGGGGAGCAAAGCAGGGGGTGGTGGTTGTGTGTCCCAGCAGTGCTGCTCTGTGGTCTGTGCTGTTCTGTGAATGCCCCTTCCACTGCAGGGGTGAGGGGGATGACCTGGGGGAAAAACAGATGGAGCCTCCTGCACTGGGCAAATAAAAACACCAGATATTAATACAGGGATAAAAAATAGAGTGCTGTTTTTGAGATGATCTGCAGAACAAATCTTGAGATTTCTTGTCTCTAAGAAAGTAACAGCAGTGACAAAGCACAAGCTAATAAGGGGAACAAAAAAAGATAAGGAAAGGTGAAGTAGTGAGACAGGAAAAAAAAAAGGTTAAAAGACAAAAGGTGAAAAAGGGAGAGAAAGGTATCAGATTTCTTTTGGCATTCATGTGCTCTGTATATAGTTTGAATATATTTTCCAGAAGAGGATTTCCCCTTGCATTTGCAATTCAAAGCTTCTAGCAAATTCCACTGTTTCCCTTGGCATTTCTTCAGCCCCTGTGGATTTTCCAGTTCTGCTTTTTAGATGCAGTGCAATTGTCAAACTCTGCAGCTTTTTTTTTTTTTTTCCTTCCTTGAAGTAATGTGGCTTAAGGTGTATTGTGGCATTCCTTAAGTTTTTGGTTCAAAAACTGAAAATGTGGAGGGACCTTGTTCCCTTCTCTTTATAGTTTAATTCATGGATGGTCTTTAGGACTACTTGGATATTTGACAGTGTTTCCTGTCTTTCTTCACTTTATTCCCTTGCATGAAAAAGTGGATAAAAAGATTTGGGATTTTCCATAGTATGGGTAGATGATGATATTCGGCTATTATGTTCAAGGAAAATACCACTAATGGCGTGGCTGGGACATGCTCATAAAGATAAATACTATCAAAGGGGATGATGTACTTGGGATCTTATGTAGAAAAACAGAGATTTGCTGCATTGCTGTCCTGGGAGCAGAAAGACTTCTACAACACATCTCAGCTAATCCATCTGCCCTGTGTGCCTATCCAAAATATT